CCCCCCCAAAAAAAAAAACCTAATAAACAGAACTTCTCCAGAAAGAGTTGTAGGAAAGAGACATACTTCAATTGTCACATCTGAAAAAATTCAGAAAGCAATTTGTAGAGCCAGCAGGGAAATGACGAACACTCTAGCAAGAATTCAACATTTAAACTGTCACTATGTGTCTTTGTCCYTCCAAGGGCTTGAGTTTCAGATTAGAGTGGTTGTCACGGCATCTTATTACCTGATTTCAGAGCAGAGCACAGGATCGGGGCTCTCGGAAGGGATTGCTTCCAGCAGGAACCCCAACAAGCAAAGCATCTTTGCAGGCATTTTGCATACAGTACTGCTGGAGTTCTGCAGCAGCCTGGGAGACCTGAAAATGAACAACAGATCCAGAGAGGAAACTCATTCATTCACAAGCATYTATTAAGCTTTTCCTCTTGAAGAGCTATTATCAAAGGGAGCTGGAGTACAGCCAAATCACCTCTTGGACTCTAAAACACCAAGTAAAATAGCACAGAAGTACATGYATAAAGCTCTGACAAAGCACACATGAAATACTATGCCAGTGAGGAGCCAGAAGAATGTTGAGGACTGAGGCGCAAGTGTGATGCAATTTCTCCTCTTTAAAATGGTCAGAGCCATGACCATTTTCCAGTTTACTGTTGTGTTTCAGGYATATATTTGAACTCTTACATGCTCTGAAAATTTATTAAGATTTTCATTCCAAACTTCTAAGCAACACAAAGTGTAACAAAGAATGAAAGCAAACAGATGAGGATTAAAAGCTTTCAAAGTCCAAATTGTCATCTTCCCCCTGCAGTGAAGTGAGAACTTCAAATCCACACTCTGACCCTCGAAAGGGACAGACCAGAGCTGCGGAACAAGCCCAGGATCCCAAAGGTAAAATGTCTTCAGCACTGAACTCCCCTGTGATAGGCAAGTCAGTTTTATGTTTTTGAAGGAAATATAAAGGAATTCCCAGTTTCCCAGACACAGATTAGAAACAGCTGTAGGGAACTGCCAAAACCCATGCTGTCTGATACGCATTTTATAAAAAGAAATTATAATTATATTGATGGTACTATAAGTTCCCTTCTGACCTCACCTCTGCCTTTGCTACAGAACTCCTGAAATACTGATTTTTCTTCCTACACAACTTGGCAATGTTGCCAAAACAATAACCTGAAGAACCATCCACACTACCCAGACTCCAGTCTCAAGGAACCACCCAGGAGCCCCAATGGAATTTTGGTTCTGGGCCATCCCAWCTAACACATGAGAAATCTGGCCTAGCACACTGTTTGCTATTTTGCTGCTCTCCTGTTCACTGTGTTCCAACTCTCCTCCYGCTCTTCTCYGGACACTCATCCTGGTACCTGCCCRAATTTACCCAGCAGCTGTCAGCACTTCAGGGAGTTGTTAAGAGAAACTTTTTCCCTCAGCCTCCCAGGTTCTCTTGAGCAGAGTACAGGGTGAAGCTTCTGCATCAAGGATTCCTGCTTGATGTAAGTAAGCAGGTTTTGTCACTGCATCCTTACCTGAGGAGAAGCCCTTTCTCTGGAGGCTGCAGGTGTCCTGCCTGGCACAGTCCCTTGGAATCCCTGCAACATCATCACCCTCGCCTCCGCCTACTCTTGGTCCTACCTATGTCCCATAATATTCTTCTTTCCTTCTGTTCACACAGAAAATTTCTGCCATATTCTGCCATGGCAAACACGCTCCCTTCAGCAGCTGCCTGCATGCAAGATGTGTATGGGTACGTCTTTCCTACTCAGTTTCCTCTTTCTGAAAATATTGTTCCTGTCTGCTTTTTTAGCCAGCAGGGTAAACAAAATCACCATTGGAGTATGGAATGTATTTTTAAAAATCCTTTCATAATCCGCTTCCGTCTGGAAACACATTGTCTATTCAAAGTAGCTTAAACAATGTTTTCTCCTATTTCAGTGCTTGCTAAAATTGAACCGAGTGGTTTTTCACCACCTGAATATATTTCTCATTATTATTATACTTTATGCCAAGAAATACAGATGACACAATTTATAAGATACATTTTCAATCGTGTGTTATTTCAAAGCCATGAATAGGCTCCCAGAACAGCAGACCTGGAAAGAGACTGCTGCGCACACTGCTGCAAGAAAGATGAGACTGAGGTCCATCAAGGACAAGCCTCCCAGGAATACAAGCAAACTCATAAAAAATAGGTAGCCTTGAGAAGTACAGCTCCAGAATATGTTACTGCCACAAAGTAACACCTGTAAACYATAAAATATATATTTTATAGCCACTCCCCACCCACATAAAAAACCAGCAGGSAGGAGAAATGTGCCTCAAAATGAGCAGGAACAGAGATCCAGCCACCAACAGTAACTGGTGGACAACCAATTCAGTTTTTGYCACAAGAGTCTACATTTCTAGTCTGAAATGCGCTGTTTTTCACATATTCCCACACCTCATTGCAGYGATAAACATATTTGCTTTTAGTGAATCCAGTATCCGCTGATTCAGTTTTGCTAATAAAAGACTGTAACATTAACAAATTGATTAGGATATATCCAAAAGCCATAGTGGTTTCACCTTGCAATGAGCACTTCAGATTTTCACCAGTCCAGCACAGGATTAGTGGGGAAAAGTATTCTGAATCATTTTTAAATCAATTAGCTAAGTTCCTGCAGCTCATTTTGTTGGCACTGCCGTCAGACTGAGGAAGCTGGTCATTTGTGACTGGCCAGAGAAAAATGGCGAATGCAAGGAGGGAGACGAGGAAAGTGCAGGATATAAATTAATTTAACCTCCATCACTTCACAGACTAGGCTGGACCCACCACACCTGCTGGGAACCAAGAGCTGGTCTCGGTCAGATCACCAAACCTGAGGAGATGCTAAATGACAGGACCGCCGCATCATCCCGCCTTTGTCTGGAAATGTGCAAGCAGGAGACGGTTCATGCATGCGTAGCAAATCGCCTGCCTTCCCCAAGTGTGCCAGCGGGTACCACCCCGCACCGCCTCCCCCYGCAGATCCTGCCAGCGCTCCGAAACAGGGAGAGTCGGGCTTTCTCCGCTGAGAGGAACTACTTCCGATTATCTGCTTGCCGGTGCAGAACTAACGAGGAGCTGCTGTATTATTTATCACGGCCAGTCCACCAGGAAACGGCACTCACCGCATCGCTCCCGCGGCGCTCAGCGCTCGCAGCCCCCCGGGCACACGCACCCCTCGCTCCCTTCCCTCCCARGGAGGGCGGCGCCGCCCAGCACGGAGGGAAAGGCAGGAGCGGCGGGATCGCGGCACCCGCGYCTCCCCCCGCTCCCTGGGGCTCCGCACCCCGCGCCCCATCTCACCTTGATCCTCTCCACGGCCGCCTCCAGCTTCAGCTGCTCCACCAGCCGCTGCATGGTGCTCAGGCTGCCGCCCGACGACATGCCGAAACCGCGGGGGAGACGGAGAGGATGAGACGGGCGGGCAGAGCGGGTGACACAGGCGGGCAGCGCGGCTCCAGCGGGCTCGGCTYGGCTCGGCTCAGCTCCCTCCGCCCCGGGGAGGGGCCGGGACGGGGCCGCTCCGCCCGCAGCCCCCGCGGCACCGCCCCAGACCCCGSTGCGCTCTGCCGCCTGCAGCGCCCTGCAGCGGCTCTGGGTGAGCGCKCCAGCTGCTTTTGGGGCAGGAAACCTGCTGGTCGCAGCAAGGGGGGGAAAAAATTAAAGGGAAACAAAAAATAAAGTGGGGAGAGGGGAAGGCGGAGGGGAAAAAAAAAGGGGAAAGGGGGAGAAAAATCCCAGAGGAATTTGAGAAAGGAAAAAAAGGAAAAAGTGGGGGGAAGACTGAAAAAGAAAAAATGGGGGTAAGGGAGAAAAGAAGTGGGGGGAAGAATAGAGGGGAAAGAGAATTCACAGACTTAGATTGGTTTGGGTCGGGAGGAACTTTAAAGATTACCTAGTTCTAAGCCCACCGCTTGGGCAGGGGCACCACGCACTACATCAGATTATTCAGACCCCACCCAGCTCGGTCTTGAACACTGACAGAGATTGAGTTCTAAGCATGCCCTTTGCCCACAGATAGCTGTTGGGCTCCAAATGTCTGCCAGCTGTTGCCAGTGGTGCTGCATTACCCCTCTCCCCCCCATACTGTTCACGACCATTTCAGCAGTGACCATGAATAAGTCCCATAAATAAGTGCCATTGTTTGGCAGGGGGTTGACAGGTATTAGTTTGCTGGCTTGTTAAATGGTTGGTGGGTTGAAGCTTATAGACTCAAATGGTTGCTCTGAAATAAGACRGGACAACCAGGAGTTCAGGCCCAGTCAGAAGGGGTTTGTGGAAGACAGATCCTGCCTGGCCAAACTGATGTTCTTCTGTAGGTGATACACCTAAAGAACGAAGGAATGGCTGTTTCCTTCCCAGACTTCAGCAAAGCCTTTGACACCATCTCCCACAGCATTCTCCTGTCTGCTCATGTTTATGAGTGAGCTCTTTGCAGTGTAAAGAGCTGGATGGCTGGGGCCAAAAAGTGGTGGTGAATGGAGTTAATTCCAGCTGGCAGCTGGTCACTAGTAGTGCTCGCCAGGGGTCAGTATTTGGCCAGCMCTGCTTAATGTCTTCATCAGCTACCTGTTTAAGAGGATAAGGTCCACACTCAGCAAGCTCCCAAATGACACCAACTTGGGCGGAAGTGTTGATTTGCAGGAGAGCAGGATGGCTCTGAGAGGAGCGCAGAGGGATCTGGACGGGCAGGATGGATTGACTGAGGCTGATTGTATGAGATATCACAAGGCCAAGTGCCGAGTGTTGCTCTTGGGTCACAACACCCCAACCAGTGCTCCAGGCACTGACAGAGTGGACAAAGTGTCTGGAAAGCTGCCTGGCAGAAAAGAACCTGGGAGTGCTGGTCAACAATGCCTGAATATGAACCAGAGTGTGCCCAGGTGGCCAAGAAGGCCARTGGCATCCTGGCCTATATCAGCAATAGTGTGGCCAGCAGGACCAGGAGAGYGATTGTCCCTCTTTATTTGGCAACGGTGAGGCCACGTCATGTCACGTGTCCAGTTCTGTGCCCCTCACAAGAAAGAAGTTGAGGTGCGGTGTTGCCAAATTCTAGGAACTCAGACATTTTAGGAACACAGACAAAGAGTCAGGTTTAGAAAGGAGATACTGTTTATTTTGCGAAGGGTGCAAGGTGAAAATTTTCCTACAAATCAAGCACACCAAGGAGCAAAAACCAAGGTAATTTATACACTGAAGTTTACACAAAATCATATATTTAATACCTAATTACCGCCTACCTCATGCCTATTCATTTAGTTTGCACAGCAGTACTTGTCACTTGTGCCTGCATGGGCCTCTTTGGGGATTTCTTGTGGTTGTTTTTGCTTATTTGGGGAGGTGTTCCYGACAGAGTTTTGATCAAAGTTCAGCTCAAGGTGAGCAAAACCCAACGCTGAGTGCCAAAGATGTGATCTGCAGCTCTGGCTGCAGCTGCCAAGCAGGACACAAAATACAAAAGCTTTCTGTAAGCATTAAGCAACTCGTGTTTAACCCACCTGATAACATCTATTTGTATCAAAAGAGRCGTTAAAGGTGAGAACAATACCATTCAGCTTTTATCTGCARCAGAGATCAAAGGAAGGGACAGAGAACTCTGCTTAAAGATTCATGGAATTCTGCTGAAGGATACAGAGACCTCTGCTTAAAGACATCACCCGAGCATGTYCAGAGAWGGGCAGCGAAGCTGGTGAAGGGTCTGGGGCACAAGTCCTGTGAGAAGACGTTGAAGGAGCTGGCGTTGTTGAGCCTGGAGAAAAGGAGGCTTAGGGAGAATTTGTCGCTCTCTACAACTATCTGAAAGGGGGTTGTTGCCAGGTTGGCCTTTTCTCTCAGGTCACAGGTGACAGGACAAGGAGAAATGGCCTCAGGATGCACCAGAACAGGTTTAGATTARACATTAGTAAAAAATTCTTCATTAAAAGTGTTGTGAAACATTGGTACAGTCTGCCCAGAGGAGTGATGGAGTCACCATCTCTGTGAGTGTCCAAAAAGCATGTAGATATGATGCTTRAGGATCTGATTTAGTGGTGAACATGGTGCTGGTGCTGGGTTATGGCTGGACCTGATGGTCTAAATGKTMKTTTCCAACCTTAATGATTCCATGATTCTGTAGGGACAGCCAGGCATGCAGATGCTTGTGCCTCAGTCAGAGCCTCAGGAAAAGAGGCTCTGATTTTTCCTCATGGCCAGGGAAAACACACACTGAATCCTCTCCAAGACTGTAATAGCTTGCCACCCTTTTCCCCATGATGGTCTCACCACTGCTCAGTACCAGCAATTCTTGTTGACGTAGACATTTTTCTCTGGAGACAATTCAATCTACACTGGCTACACTAGGCCTAATATTGTAACTCTCAGCAGCCTCTGAAAATTTATGCCCAGAAGACAGACATAATTTGGAACTACAATGATAGTCTAGAAATGCCTAGTAGCTTCAGCTAATGAGGTGTCACTGCAGCACTGACMGCTTTCTAAAGACACCTGAGGTTTTTCTGTACTATCACATCACAGAGATGTGACTGCAGTTTCACTGCCCAGCAAATTTTTGCTGCATTCCATGAATTTATGTCTGCATCAATTTTTCTTTCAAAGGGCTGATATGTCTAGAGAAGAGGGAACTCCAATGTGAGCCAGCAAGCAAGCTCATTTCCAGCAGSTTGCATGATACCTCTGACTTCTTCACCCGCTTGATATCAGCCACAAGCATTACATGGATAAAACACCATTACCAGTGAATGATAACAGTGCTGTCCTCTGCCAGGGGGGTACTGCCATCACACTGCTTTCCTGCTCTAGTGTCGGGTCAGGAAATTAACCTTGATTACACAGATAGTAGGCAAAAAGGGAAAACAGATCTGTGTTTTGACTACATGTATGATAACCCAAACACTTGGCTTCGGAAAGGACAGAGCAAAATGAGGCAGAAGGTCAAGAGCAGGAGAGCTGTTAGCCTGTGAAACTGCAGATACAGGTTGAGATTTTCTTGTATGCAATTGCCTTGTTCTTTTCCAGATATAACTGTCTTTGCTAATAATCAGCACCACTGTATTTGTGCTGAGTTTCATTCTCTTTGTTTCTACCACAGCAACTTGATTTTTCCCCTTCCACTCTTGCAGGAAACTGACTGTTTTGGGGGGTGAAGTAGCAATACACAGAAGCTGTGRTCTCTCACTTCCTAGGCGTCTTTGCAGTGTCCCTAAGATTACTTTATGAAAGCAAGTATAGCTTTTTCTACATACCTGCTTTAACRATTTTTAGATACAAAGTGAATTAATTTTATTGCTACTTTACGTTCAGCAGGGATAAAGTAACAATTAGAAGTTCCCCTTCAATTTTACTACGGGGTACAGAGATTCAGCATAATATTTCTACTATGTTGTTCTGGTTTCAGCTGGGATAGAGTTAATTTCTTCTCAGTAGTWGTTACATTGCTGTGTTTTGGTTTCAGAATGAGAATGATGTTGATAACACATTGATGTTTGGGTTTTTGCTAAGTCATGTTTACACAAATCAAGGACATTTTGTTCCCTCCTTGTCTCATGCTCTCCCAAACTGGGAGAGAGAATAGCAGGGACAGGTGTCTGTAACTGACCAAAGGGATATTCCACACCACAGAATGTCGTGCCCACTATATAAACTGGGGGAAGTTACCAATCCAGTTTTGGGAAGAGGAGTCTGGCATCAGTCAGTGGGTGTTGAGCAACTACATTGTGCATCACTTGCTTTTTTTCCTTTCTGTTATCATTAGTATGATTATTTCCCATTATTATTGTATTTTACTTTATTTTCAATTATTAAACTGTTCTTATCTCAATGTACAAATTCTACTTAAGTTCTTCTTCCCACCACTTCWAATTATCCAGCATTCAGGCAGATCTCTGGGTAATGGTCTGAGTTATTTATCTGACCTTAAAGAAGATTTGAACGATATGCAACAACAKGCTGCCTCATAGCAAAAAGACCACTTGAGTTTTCAAGACAGTCAAAGGATATTATAAATCTTTAAAATTCTCAGCTATCATGGTCAGTCTGGAGGATAAAGAAGGAGAAAAAGGACAGGGAGAAAAAAATAGGAAGGCCTCCCTCTCATAGGTTGTTCATCTGAGGAGAAAAATACAAAGATTATTAACTGTTCCTAGTAAACAACTCCCAAAGCACAGAGGTGCCTGCAATGCTGAATACATGGACCTGATYGGTGTCCTGGCCAGTGTTGCTGTCRTATCATAGTCCCATCCTACAGAAYAAACCACACAGAACAAACACTGCAAGTGAGGCATCACCGGTACAATACAGACAGAATGCCACAAATATGAGAGCAATAACTCCACATTGTAACTAGCAACTGTTAAACTACTACAATGAATGTTTATAACAATTTTCTTTTACTTTGGTCRCAACTTGCCACCCTTTGGTCAGAACTTGCCCATATATCAACCCTTTGGGTCCATGTTCAGGGGCCAAAAGGACTGCTGTGGTTTATCACCAGATGGAAATGAAAAACCACACAGCCCCTCACTAAACTCCACCCTCTCTTCTTCACTTCCAACCCAGTGCAATGGGGAAAAGGATCAGAGTAAAACTTGTATGTTGAGATAAGAACAGTTTAATAATTGAAAATAAAGTAAAATACAATAGTAATGGGAGTTAATATAATGGCAATGAAAAGAAAACAAACAAGTGATGCACAGTGCAATAATTCACCACCTGCTGGCTGGTGTCAGATTCCTCCTTCCTGTACCCAGATTGGTTGCCCTTTCAGGTAACTCTCTCCAGTTTGTACACCACGCATGATGTTCTCTGGTGTGGGATATCCCTTTGGCCAGTTTGCTATTGCAGCTATGCTCTCTCCCAGTTTGGTTTTTTTTTTGGTGGGTTGTTGGGGTTTGTTTGTTTGTTTGTTTGTTTGTTTGTTTGTTTGTGTGTGTTCTTGCTGGCAAAGCAGGAGACAAGGAGGAAAAAAATAGTCCTTGACATCGGATAAACACAATTTAGCAAAAACCAAAACATCAGTGTGTTATCGACCATTCTCCTTCTAAATCCAAAACACAGGACTGTAACAGCTACTGAGAAGAAATTATCCTAGATGTAACCAGGACAGCTGAATAGTTTGGAGTGGCAGAGTATATGGGATTTTATGAGCAAGTACGTAGGGCAGTGGGCACCTTCAAAATATTTGCTCCTGACTCCTGAGCAAGTGCAGAATCCAAAAAACTAGCAATATATTTTATTTAAGTATGCTGAGGACCCAAATTACTGCAATATGTGGGGGCCTGCCCTGCCTTATTGAGCCATGGTCAGCCCTGCTCAGTACTCTCGGGGGAAGAGAAGGTAGCTGAATCTGCCAAAGAGACGAAAACAGACCCTGCAGCTACTCCAACCACTGTGAGAGACACTGCAGCTGCTCCAGCCCCAGCAACAGGCACTGTCACTGAAACCACCAAAACAGAATCAGGTGCTGGTGTCAGTTACCCCTGCAGGAGAAGCACAAGAAATGAACATAAAAGTCGCCCTGCAAAACAGCTTTAGCAAAAACAATCAAGGACAGGGAGAGTAAAGAGGATTAAGAAGCAGCACCATCACAGGTATACACAAAGGTGTATTACAGAACGATCATCAGGGCCGTCACAGGAACTGGAAGAGGAAACAGAAGAGACAACCACAACTTGATTCCCTATCCCTGAGTGAGCTGCAGGAAATACGAGAAGATTTCAGTCATTGTCCAGTTGAGCATATTATCACCTGGCTACTCTGGTRCTGGGACAACAAAGCTGGCAGTGTGGAATTAGAGAATAAGGAAGCCAGGAAGTTGGGATCACTTGCTAAGAAACCAGGCATTGACAAAGCAGTGGGAAAAATGACACAAGTCCTTTGTCTGTGGAGGCGACTCTTGTCAAGTGTGAGGGCAAGGTATCCCTATAAAGAAGATATTCCATGTAACATAAGCAAATGGGCTGCAATAGGGAGAGGTATTAAATACCTGAGGGAATTAGCCATACAAGAAATTATATATTTTGATCTGGAAAATGCGCAGTTCCCTTCAGCTCCATATAATGTCTCATGTCAACAATTCATGGTGGAAATTTGGAGAGTGCACTAACAGCACATGCCAACCCCTTGACAGCAATAGTTTGGAAAGATGATGCACAACCAACAAGAGTGATCTTCCATATCCAGGGATATAAAGACAGTATTCCTTACCCCATAACTGCAGCTGTGGAGAAGCTATCAGATAAACTGAATCAGGATTTTCAGCATTTCAGAGAGAAAATGTCCTACTCCCCACCTGTAGAGTCTCCTATTTCTACAAATGACAGCAGGACATTTGAGGCAAGAGAGAGGATATAGAAGGTACATACCACAGGGTACCCCATGGTTTGACCAKGGAGAGGATATAAGGAAGCAGGATGGGCAATGTGCCTTGATCCTMGATGCACAGGAGCGAGAATTGCAGGGAGAAACAACCACAATAGGGTTTTGTCTAGGGAAGTTGCTGCTCCAGTCTCCAGCAAACTTTTCCAGGCAGAATGAAAGGTCTGATCACGCTACTGACCCTGTGGAGAGAAGTTCTAGAGTATTTCCACAAGATGTTAGTGCAGAACCTTGAGATCACTATTAGAAGGGCTCTGCCTCCAGCCAGGTGGAGSAGAGGAATAACTGGACTGTGTGGATTCAATGGCCTGGCACAGCAGCCCCACAGGATTACAAGGCTTTAGTAGACACAGGTGCAGTGCACAGTACCCTAATGCCATCAGTCTACATGGGGACAGAAACCATTTGTAATTCTGGGGTGACAGGGGAGTCCAAACAGTTGACTGTTGGGGRCTGAGATTAGTCTGACTGGGATTTAGAGGCAAAAGCACCCTARTGTGCCTGGACCAGAGGSTCCATGCATCCTTGGCATGAAGAACGGGRGCTGGCAGTATGCATTGTGGCCTGAAGGAAGACTTTCTGTCTCTGAGTGATGCCATTCCAGGCATTTTGGAACTTCAGTAGGAGCTGGAATCAGAGGCAGCCAAGTGGTGTCACCATTGACGCTGCTGAGGCGTTTCTCAATCCCTCTGGCAGCAGAGTGCAGGCCACAGTTTGCTTTCACTTGGAGGGATGTCCAGTAACACTTAACAGASCTGCTCCATTGACCAAGAGAATGATGTTTGTAAATATATCAAAGCAGATAGAGGGAAGGTGATGGGATATTGGGGAGCGTGAAACTTGGCATGACGCAGATGATATGGAATAAGCGGTGGGCATTGTCTGCATTACAGGTGGGGTAATTTCTTCTCAACAGCTGTTACTGTGCTGTTTTGATTTYAGAATGAGAATGGTGTTTTTAACAAACCGATATTTTGGGTTTTGCTAAGTCAATTTTTGAAGCCAAGGACTTTTCCCGTACTTGTCTCATGCTCTGCCAGTGAGCAGGTATGCAAAATGAAAAACGAACTGGGAAGGAGGATAGCTGGGACAAGTGACCTGAACTGGCCAAGGTATATTCCACACCAGAGAATATCATGCCCAGTATATAAACTGCAGSGTTACTTAGAAGAGTGGCTGATCTGGGTACAGGAAGGGGAGTCTGGCATCTGTCAGTGAGCAGTGAGAAATTGCATTGTTTGGTTTTTTTTTCTTATCATTATTTCCCATAGACACCGTGTTTTACTTTAAATGATTAAACTGTTCTTATCTCTAACATAAAAGTTTTTACTTGGACTCTGCTCCCCATTCTAGTAGCAGGACGGGGGGAGTTGGGGTAGAAAGAGAGTGGAGTTGAACAAGCAGCTTTGAGGTGTTTAATCTCCAGCTGGGCTTAAAACCTCAACACATGTTTTTGACTGTGTTGTTTTAAAGAGAGWATTGAAACAACAATTCAGAAATGAAAGGTCGGGAGCAGCAACTTCAAAACTTGTGCTCCCACAACCACTGTCCAGGAAAGGCAGCTAACAAGGCACTATTTTCAGCACTTCACTTCTAAGGAACTTACTTTTACAGATGTGATGACAGGAGAAAGACTATGCTCTGTCCATCCCCAGTGAAATTACTGAAGAGGAMTATGGAAACCGAATCCCTTTTAAGAGCAAATCACAGAAACTCTCTGACCTGGGCTGTTACACAGGAAACCACAGACTGCTGTTTGCATTATTTATTCTAAGTACTCAGAGTCTGATCAGAAGAGATAAATGTAATGAATACTTTTGACTTAGAATTTAAAACAAATCAAGTCTACATATATAAACTTTTATTTACATAAGGCATCAAAATTGCCCTTTTTAACAAAAGGGTCATTTTTCCCTTTAACCAACACTTTGGTGAAAGAAATATGTCACATTTAGTAGATTAATATTTACTGATATACTTGTTCTGAACAAGTAGGTATAATCCAATGTACAAGATGAAAAAACAAAATATCCAAGCATACTATTTCATTAATTACTCTGTAGAACAAAGAATTAAGGCTTGTTTGCATCACAATGATGATCAATCATGCATAATTTATTCCCACAAAGAATAAAATCCATTTCCAACTGAAGCAGGAATAGCAGTAGTCTGGTATAATCCCCATATTGTTTACATGGAAAAAAAAAACAATTTGGCATTAGATTGAAAAGTAGCACAGAAGAGAAAAACAGAAAATGGTCCTTGCTTCGGAATACTTTATAAGGATTTCCAGTGTCCATTTGCAGGAACTCTCCAATTTAAAGGGGAAAATCAGGACTTGTCAAGGATTGAACTAAAAACATTTTCAGAAAAACTAGCGTTACGGTTCCATTGAAGATGAAGTATCTAACAAAAATACATTGTTTGGAATAATGAATTCCACACGGATATCCCCAAGTAAATGGCATATATACATTAGGCTGAGCCCGTTTAATAGGTCTGATTTATAAAAACGGTAAACCTGTATTATGCTTCGGCCTGATGTAAAAGTTCCTGAGTTTTAGATCACTGCTAAACCACAGCAGACAAAACTCTGAATGATGTAATGAAAAGTTTTGCAAATCACTTTCAGCATTAGCACACGTTTTGTTCAGCAACTTTCAATCATCAACAAAAGTCAGTCTTCCAGGTCCTTCATTTTTCATCCACCGCCGGTATCTCTTCCATCGGGGATCCATGGCCATCTTCTTCTTTAACTCCTCTTCTTGTTCTCGTTTATAGACCTGRTAAGAGAGACAATGGTATTTAATAAGGCTGAAGAAACAGCTTAAGTGAGCCTCAGGTAAGGTGTGTTTATACTCCAACCATCTGGCACCTGCAGCCCAAGAGCCCACTGCTGCCCAAGATGCTTTGTTTTTCCTGAGAGCAGAACTACCTTCTTATAAGCTCTAAAACTAATTTTTTTTTGCTGAAGTAGATGCTCAATTAATTTAATTTAAAAAAGTACACACTAAGCAATGGCTAATGCTCTGAAAAGCTGAACTTGTGAGTCCCTTTCAGCACACATACAGTTCAATGCAGCTGTTCAGCTCCTCATTTTAACTGTTCTCCCCTTTCAAAGTCATCATCTAATAGAATACTGCTATGGAACTTTTTGTTCCTAAGTAAGGTTCTCCACGAAGTTAAYATCTCTGCATACAGTATTTACAGTACTAAAAGGACTAAAAGACAAACAGTTACATTCTGTCAAGAAATGGTGTCATTGTAATGGAATCTACAATTAGCAGCAAATCAATTATCTTAAAAAAAAGGCAAAAAAAAAAGCACAACAGCATCTACATTTTTATTGTGGAAGGTAGTTTATGCAGATGCAGCCAGCATAAATCTTAATATCAGCCATGTTTTTATCATCTCAGTGTCATCGGACTTAGTCTGACTCAAAGGACAATTAAATTTAGAGTTCTGCTACATACAAACAAGATTTTAAAAATATTATATTATAGATGGTTATACAAATACATAAACTCAATTTTCAGTGATCATACAGGTTTTAAGAATCATCAGGAAACAGTAAAAATATTGTGGAGCTCCATGATACACCTGCGTATTGAATTCTTGGCCTTTCCTATCCTAAAACAACATTGGAAAATRGAACAATAAGCAGATTGTGATGAAGGAATAAACAAGCTTTTGGGGAGAAACACTACTGTGTATTTGTCAGCCAAGAAACTAAGTTTCAATTAGGATCTGGCAGTGGTACACAATAACACAGGTAGCACAAGAAAAGAATAATGATGATTCTTCATTTCCAGTAACACTAGAATGAGGGGTCCAAGTGGCTCCAGAAAAATCCTTTTACCACCTTCTGTATGTATTGATGAACTCAAGATCAGATGGCACAGCAGACATTGAAAGCTTTAACGCATTCAAGTCACTAGGTAAAAACTCATTAAAGCAATTACTATACAGGTGCAACTGTCATGGAATTTCTACGTATTTGTCATGAAAAATCAACCACTGGCCACCACAGGAGACAAGTGAGAGCTAAACAGACATCACCTGTGGCAGATACAGCTCCTCCACATTCAGTGACCAAACATAATTCCTTATAAACTGYATGGATGAGAAACAAGGGAATTTTTTTTCTACAACAGGATATCCACCCAGTCTTACTTTTAACATGTAATGTCTGCTTTGACTAGCATCATTACTTTGTCTTTGGACTTCCAGATTGTTTTTGAGCAAATCCATCCTGACTGAGCATCACCACACAAAAAAGAGCTATCAGGGGACAGCTGGGAAAAACAAAAAGGCCAAAACAATTACAAGCAAAGAAACCCCCTGAGCTAGGTAGGAGTTAACAGTTTGCAAGTCTAATGAAATAGGAGTTTCGGACAATCTGGGTCATTCCTACTATACATTATTACTGTCTGGAGAACAGACAACAATCTTTGACCTACTATGATAATCTAGTCATACCACRTTATTATTGCTCTGGGAGTACTGGATAACTAACATTAGTTTTTCCACCACGACTACTGAAAAATAACATAAGACAATAGAAATTTTCAGTTCCCCTGTAATTGCTGGATGTACCTTAAAGACCAATTAGTATATAAGAACATAAAAGTAGGTGGAACCAGTGGATGAACAGATAATGAGGAATACAATGGGGTTTTGGTATGTAACAAGAAAAAACAGTAAATGCCTGAAGAAAACGTTCAAGGAAAGGTCACCTGTAATACTGAAGCACTCAGTGAATACAATCACCAGAGGCCCCTTCAGATGACCCTCTAGAACCATAAAAGRACTTCCAGTAGGAGCCAGATGCATGCAAATTAGTTCAAGGAAAAGTGATGTTCATATATTAGCTAGGGAGTACATTGTAATAAATATGTAAGATCATGATGGAATAAATACACTGTTGTAAAGCTTCATGACATACATTCGATCAGAGGAGATATCCTCCCAGTGTGTATAGGGCTGTGATAAAGAATACCTGCTTTGTAATACTTCAAATTGTGTTAGAAAGTTTATTTTCTGGCTGAYTTCAGTATCACTACCCACCTCATAGTTTTCTCGTATCCACAGCTGCCGTTCAAGAAAGGTCTCTTTTTGATGATCTTCCAGGCTGTCAAACTGAGACTGAGACATTTTCATGTACCTTCGTATGATATACAACTTCTCTTCCACACCATATTCTTGCCCTTTAATAGTGAAACAATAAATCCACCAACAGTACCAAGCTATATATTTGCACCAGTAAAAAGGAGCAAGAAGGATCTGAAATAGAAGGATATCATATATTTTGGGCTTCTGATAACCACCCTTTATATCTATTTTATTTTTAATAATGTCTTTGATAATTTCTTCCTCCTCTTCACGAATTTCTTCTTTGGACCGTCTGTTCTTGCCTTTTTCTTTAGTCTTGTTGAGTAAACCTTGTTGCCTGGCAATCTCAGTAGCTTGTATACGGTATTTTGGCACAGTCGCTAAGTAGTTGATAGCTTCATTGTAACTACTCCACCAGCTGAAGAACTGTAATTTAAGAACAGTAAAAATAAAAACAATGATTTTATAAAGACACATTTGGGGGTTTGCCAGGACAAAAAGAGTAACACACACTTAACCACAGTAACATTACAGTACCGATAAAAACTGAAGCTAACAGTACTTCTGTGATATTACAGAAGCTATAATCATTCCTCCAGACTCAGTGAAGCACCTGGTAAACAGAGGTATAGAAGTGTATCTCACAACAATTTATGATGATGAGGAAGGACAAGCAGACACTGTTCTGAATAGTTTTGCTCACGGAAGATGGCAATCTCCTACAACGTAATCACAGGCTGTGCTAGCCATTCCGTCTTCTTACATTTGTAAGTAAAGAAGCTCATATACAAAAGTTTACAAATAAAATTGTTACCCATTTAAAACAGTTCCTTAAACATGTACTAAGTATGTGACAATCTCATTAGTCTGGCAGTATTCACTTTACAAGACTTAACACCCCTCTCTGATCTCCAGCTGCTCTCTGGATTTCAAGGGAGTGGTGAAAAAAAACCACAAACAACAAATCAGAAATATACTGCCTGGATGAACACAGAGTGATCATATATCCTGAGCTGGAGGGGACCCACAAGGATCATSAGGTCCAAGYCCTGGTCCTGTACAGTAAAYCCTGAGAATTMTTCYTTCTGAAGGCRGAAGAACAAYGACTAGCTCAGAGCTGATGTTCCCATCTAGTGTCTGTCCATGCCTGAGATGAGGCATGGAAAATATGGAAGAAACMAGACAGGCACAAGAAGGGAAAAGTTAGGAGATCGCTTTCATTTTTGGGACATTCAAGCAGATCATCAACAATGATGTCTCATTCACCATTTTCCAAGACAAAGCACAGACATAAACAACCTTAGCAAAGACCAAGAAACAGAAACAACAGAAAGGAAGATGGGTAAACCAGTTTACACAGATGCTTACACTGAATTTAGAATAATTTGGCAGCTGGACTTCAGAGAACTGAGCGTATTGGCACTTAYAGCCAAAGTAAGAAATAAGATGCGAAGTGAAACTTTGCCATTGCAAATAAGTCCAAAGAGAAATTAGATATTTGGTTGAATTTGTCATTAGAATTCATTATTCCAAGTTCTCAAATTATGACCAGTGTATTTTTTATTTTAACTTCCAACATCCCACTAAACACTGAACTGCCTCCACCACAGCAGAAGCTTAAACTTCTTGGGTACTTTTAATGATGTTTTGAACCAGTGATTTAAAAGATCCTAAAGAGAAGTTAWGCATCTTCCCCTTGTGACAGCAACAGCACAAGTTTTTTCATCTAAAACACAGGTGGTTTTCTTGACCTTGAATTTACCACTTTGAGAATAAATACTGCTGAACTGAATTTGCTTCTCACCTGATTTCATCCACGTGGCATTTAAAATACACCGCAATGYAAGACTCACACATTAGTAAACTCCTGATATTCAGTCCCACCATCTGAATTGAGTCTTGAATTCAGTTTGCTACTAATCTATTTTTAAAAAAAGTTACTTATGCATCTTGACAAACTGACATGCATTATTTGGAGCACTAGTTCTGCCTGAGCTCAGAAACAGTAAAGATGCACTTGTCTTGATGAAATTAAAAGCACTTTGTCCTTGGTACCAAGGGCAGTCAGAAATCGCTAAGTACATCCTGACTTCAGGACTGATACTACACAAAACTGGACTACATTATACAGGAACATACAGGGCTCCTTACTGAMATTTTTTATTAAATGGCACGCAATGAGAGCTGCCACTGCTTCTCTTCTTGCTCAGAAACTGACAGAGCAGTGCRATGTAAATAAGAATTTTACCTGAAACACGGAGATGGCGCACACTGTAACTAGGATCACTATTGTGACATCTACTTTAGGTGCCAGTCTCCTGCTGTAGTAGTGGTAATAATGCCTGTAATACTCYTCAGGATGATCCAGCATGTAGTCATAATCTTTACGTGTTTCTTCATCCTGCAGGATAAGATGAAGAATTCATTCAGGTTTAAATTCCTGTTTTCACTTGCTCTGTTACATTTGTTTTTTATATCTCATCTCAAGGACTATGCTGCTGTAAAACTGGTGACAACCCAAGTGAATAGGAAACATAGAGGAAAATCTTCGGTCCCTTTCTTGTATTCTCAATTAATTTGTTCTCACACTTATTCGCCCATGCACATATGATGTGCAATCTTAAAATTAATAAGTAGGCACTGCCCAAAGGCATTTAAACCTGGAAAATAGACAAGCAACACAGATCCACAGAGGAAGTTTTTTAACTTCAGAATGAGAAGCCCAGATGGACTGATGTTAATAAATATGGCTCAAGAAAAGATTTTCAGATGAAGAATCTATTAGGAGATGGTTTTAGAAAACTTAATTAGTTTGCAGGGCTATGGAATCTGTCCAATGGAAGGCCATATCAAAACCTTATTGTTCTAATTTTCTGTCAGCTTTTCATCATTTTCCTCCATATAATTGTGGGATGGGAAATTTAATTTTGCCAGGCTCAACTGCATTCCTTTCAAACTCCCCTTCACACCCCTCCCCCCCCCCAAAAAAAAAGTTCCCTTTTTTAATGCCTTGTAGCCTTAAAAACACTTACAGGTCTCCTTCTTCTTCCATTCTGGATTCCATCTTTGCCAAGTCACACATGCTTTGCCCTGAGAAGCCTTCCCTTACAGATCCCATATGCAACTCGAGTCACCGCTACTTTTAAAGATACATCTCCAAGATAAAGCCCAGTCGGTTCGTTTTAGATAAACAAACAAAATAATTTTATTTTAAAAATTAACAGAACGAATCCTAGACACAAAATTATTTTCAAGGCAACTCCATCCTCCTCCCCTCACTCTCGGGCTGGCTACGGAAGGAGGATTTTTCGAGGTGTTTCTCCTCCCCTCCCTCACTGCTTACCGGAGCGGCTCCGGCCGCGGCGGCGGTCCCGCTCTCTCACCTTGAGGGTCTCGTAGGCGGCGGCGATGAGCAGGAACTTCTCGTGGGCCGCCTGCGCCCCGTCGCCCTCGCCGCCCGCGGGCTCCCCGCGGTAGCGGTCAGGGTGGTATTGCCGGGCCAGCTGCCGGTAGGCGCGGGCGATCTCCGCCTTGCTGGCCTGCCGGCTGACGCCCAGCACCTCGTAGCAGACTCGGCGGCCGCAGTAGAGGCGGTCGGTGAGGCCCCGCGCCGGCCGCGGCAGCAGCGCCGCGCACAGACACAGGCACAGCGCCCAGCGCCCGGCCGGACACCGCGCCGCCGCCGCCGCCGCCATTTCTCCGCCGCCGCCGAGGCCTCTCCGCCCGGTGCGGCGGGGGAGGCGGGTGGCGGCAGAGCCCGCGCTCGGAGGGTGGCGGGGGACGGAGCCGGGCCTTGTCGGCGTGCCGAGCACAAGGACAGCTCCTTTGTCCCCTATTTCTCGCAGGCTGCTCCCGCTCCCTTCTTCCAGCCGGCGGTGTGCCCTTGCGTTGCACCCACGCCTGCGGAATCCTGGGATGCGCTCGGAAGAGCGCTGCCAGCAGGTCGGTGATGTGATCCTGCCCCTGTACTTAGCCCTAGTGAGGCCGCATCAGAACTGCTGTGTTCAATTCTGAGCTCCACAACTCAAGGAAAATCACAGAACTACTGGAAAGGGTTCAGAGGAGGCCACAAATGTGATCTGGAGTTTGGGACATCTCTCTCATGAGGAAACACTGCAGGAGCTGAGCCTGTTCAGTCTGGAGAAGACTGAAAGGGGATCTCATTAAAGCATATAAATACCTCAAAGGTTGATATCAAGAGGACGGTGCCAGATAGTGATGCTCAGCGATAATATGAGGAGCAAAGGCCATAAATTAAAACACAAGAAATTTCACCTCAGTAAGGGGAAGAACTTTACGCTGAGGATGGTAGAGCACTGGAACAGTGTTGGGGGCGGGGGGGTTGACTCCTGTCTGGGGTCATTCCATACCCACCTGGACATATTCCTGTGTAACCTGTGCTAGGTGGACCTGCCTTGGCAGGGGTGTTGGAGTAGGTGATCTCCAGTGATCCCTTCCATCCCTAATGATTCCATTCCTAATGATTCTTTCCAGAGAAGAAACCTTTGAAGTGCTTCCTGAGCTCATATCTGGTTGGGTCTTGCACCTGGCAGAGCTCAGAGTCTGGCCACCTGTCACGTGGAGTCCAACAGAATTTGACTGGACCAGATATCCTTCCAACCTGACCCATTCTGTGATTCTGTGCGATTCTGTGTGCACAGCTCTCTGAAATGGCAGGTGCAATAGCACATCTGCCACCTGTGTTGTCCGCCACCCAAAGACTTCTCCTGGAAAGAAGTCTCTGCTCTGGTGTAACCAGCAGGAACATTATCTCAGGGTTCAACCTTTACTAGGAAAGCCAGTTATGTGCTTGATGGTGTAAATATCATAAAAATGTTCACTCAACAGAGCGCCTGTGCTGTTCTTAAAGCTATAAACGAGTGTGCTTCCCATGTGGCTGCCTTCCTCTGCCTGTCTCCTTTCTGCATTAATAAATGCTTATACTTTCTTTCAGGAGTGGATGAGTCCCAAATCTGCTTCTCCAAAACCAAAATAAACYCAACCTCCCCCCAAAAAAYAACAACAACAACAAAACCCACACCAAAATGAAAACCCCACCTATTTGCAGCTCATTAGAACCCAGCCTCTCMGCACTGGAAGCTGGGAATCAATGTCTCGGGCTCCTGAACCTAAAAAATTGCARTTGTGGTGGGTTGACCTGGGCTGGGTGTCTGGTGCCCACCAACCTGCTCTATCACTCTTCCCTCAGCTGGACAGGAGAGAGAAAATAAGATGGAAAAGGACTTGGTTGAKATAAGGTAGTTTACTAAAGCAGAAGTGAAAATTTATGCTTGCACAAGGAAAGAGGAAGAAAATAATTTTATTTTTTACRTCCCATCAGCAAGCCATGTTTGGCCATTTACTGGAGAGCAGGGCTTCGGTATATGTAGAGGTTACTCTGGAATGTAAACATTGTATAAAACTAATGCCCACCTCAGCTTTTATATATGAGCTGACATATGCCATGGAATATCCTTTTGGCTGGTTTAGGTCAGTAAGCCTGGTTRTGTTCCCTCCCAGGATCTCACCACCCCATGGAGCGTGGAATGTTGAAGAGACAGAGCTAATGCTGTGCCAGTGCTGCTCAGCAATAGCTGTACACTGGTGTGTTATCAACATCTTTGTAGCTATCACTGCAAAGCWAGCAAGGTGGGGGCTGCTGTGGGGAAAATGAAGTCCAGTTCAGCCAGACACATTACACTGGAAGTTTTCRTCACCTTGTTTTTCCTGACAGGAGAAAGAAGCTAGTCCTCTGACACCCGTCACTCGGACTCACTCCTACCGTGGGACTGGCCCTGAAGGTTTAGGGAGACACCACCAGTTACCCCTGTGCCACCTGCAGGAAGCAGTAAGGGTTCTGGGGAACGGGCGCCACGCTGTCTGCTTCCAGCGGTGCCCAGGGATGCCTCGGCTGGAGCATCTCGCCAAGATGCTCCTCACAGAGATCACACGTGGCATCGCTGAGTCTGGGAGAAAGATGCAGTGTGGCGGTCTCTCCGAGCAACCCCAGAGAGGCACGCGAGGAATTCTCTGRAATTTTTATCCGTTCAGGCAAAGGCTTTGGAACAGAGGCTGGGCTGCGGGGGCGCGGCCGTGCCCTCAGCGAGCGGGGCCCTGTCCTCGGTGGGCGTGGCCGTGCCGGCTGTGGGCGGGGCTCGTTCCCTCCCCTGCTGGCKCACTCACGGCCGCGCGGGGGCGCCCCTCGCCGCTCTCATCCCGTCCCTGCGCCGCCGGGCCGAGTGCGGAGCCGGCGCTGCCGCCATGGAGGTCAGCGCGGACTCCGGTCAGTGCTGCCCCCGTAAACCTCCTCCTCAGGGCCGCCGGGCGGGGCGGTTGCGGCGGGGCCGGGCCGTGTGCGCGACGGGGGCGGGCGGTGGGGACGGCGGCTCTCTCTAAATATAAACCGGCGGTGACTGAAGGGCGGGAGCTGCCGCTGTCGTGGGGAGCCGCAGGGAGCAGCAGGAGGAGGAGGAGGAGGAGGAGGTGGTGGAAGAGGAGGAGAGGGAGGAGGGGGAGGAGGAGAGAGGCGGCCGCCGGCCCGGTGCCGGTGCCGGAGAGGGGTGGGAGGCGCGGAGCGTCTCTCGCCGCCTCCCCTCCCTCCCAGCCGGCAACATGGCCGCAGCCGCCCAGGACGAGCTCAGTAAGTGCTCCCGGCGCAGGCATTTGGGATGGGCGCTGGGGGCGGGAGGGCGGGCGAGCGGGGAGTTCTCCGCGCCGGATCCCCTCTGCGGTGGGGCCCGGCCCCCGGCCCGGCCGGGCGCTGACAGCAGCGGAGCCGGCGCGGCCCTGGGCGGCCATCTCGGGAAGCGGAAACCGGGAGCAGCGGCACCTCCCGCATCCCCAGCCCCTCCGTGGACATCGGCACTGCGCCCTCCCCCGCCGSCTGCGTGACCTTGCGGGGAGGCGGCGGCAGCTCCTGTCCGAACGGAGCCTGGGGTTGGCGGGACCCCCGGCGCGCCGGGGGCGGCCTCCGCCCACCTCTTCCGAACGGGCTAAAGTGGTAGAGCCTCTGCCCGCCGGTGCTCTYCCCGCGTTGTGCCACCGCCGGGTTTGAACCACAGCAGCGGTGCGAATACAGCGCGGGCTGGCACGTCCAGCGGCGGGCTCCCCCAGCCCYTGAGGTGCTGTGCCGGGCGGTGGGTACGGGAGCGCATCGCGGCCGCCCCTGCGGCGCTCGGCACATGACCGAAGGTGCTGCTACCTCCGAACGTTCGCGACGGCGGCAGCTCGACCCTCTGTTCTTGTCACCTCCAAACCCCTTTATCAAAAGACACGATCAGCTGCTCTTTGACAGGCCTATGGAACTTCAAAAAAAAAAAAAAGCGGTTTTCCTTCTCTTGCTTTTTTTTGTCCTGGCATAGAGCTGGTTCTTACCCGTGAAGAGTTAATAGCAAGATAACATATGACTCAGCCAAATGAGAAGGCCTTTCGTTGCCCTGAAATAGTACTTGGCAGTTGTCAGAGAAGAAGGGGAGAAGAAATACTTGATCATATTTGAGCACTATTGGCTTTCAGTATTAAGGCATTTCTGTGTGATATTTCTTCSGGGGTTTTTTTGGTTTTTTTTTGGTTGTTGTTGTGAGCTGCTGTGCAGACAATATCCTAGTTCTGCTCTTTGTTAGATGTTACTGGAACTAGATTGAATGGAACAAGGCATATGATAACGATGTGGACGTGCCTTAYACAGCCAAGATGCCATGGTGGAGTAGAGAAGCATCTTGATCCTGTAACGTACTGATCCTAGAATTGGAGGATCCAAATGCCAAGCCGTTTATTCCATTGACAGCTGGGATAAATTGCTCTAAGGATGTGAAACCTCTCCCTGCCACTGTCATCCAAAAGATTCTATTGTTAGTTTTACAATGCTGACACRATTCCCCTCAGTGAAACCAGTCAGTGTGAGATTTCTTCCTTGTAATTCCTTGGCATTTATCTCTGTATAATCTAGCTTCCCAGCCGATTCTGATGCTGTAAAAAATTAGACCTTAGCCATGTGCCTACATAGCCCTTTCTGTTACACAGTGCTAGAAAGAAATGTCCSTAGACTGAGATTCACATTGATAATTACATGATATCATTCAGGTTACTTGACTGCTGCATCCTACAACAATGAGGGATTTCTCTTGGTTTGGTTAGAAATCTGTTTTCTTTGGGTGGGAGGAGGAATCTCTTTTTGGAAACTTTTTTTTGTTTAGTTTGTTTTTTTCCTGTTGCTGAATAGAAGGTACAGTAGTCTCAAATAAAAAAATAGCTAATGGAAAAAGGAGTAACTTCAGGTAGAGAAAGAGAAGGAAACTAAGCCTTCATGTGGGCTTGCTGTCTTTTGATATATTCAAATAGTTAAATTACAGCGTATTTGAAAATAAATGATTTATTTTAGAGGATGATGACTAGTCCTAAAGTAATAAGAATAATTGCCATTAGTTTTAGACTGAAAAACCAGGTTTCCTTCTTCTRTGGTCACATGGCTGTAGGAAGCTTTCATCTATAGTCAAATGCAGAAACTCTGTATAAATGTCGTGTAAGGGATGCTTGTAATTTCAGRGGAACATGTTGTTTGAAGGCCGCGTAAGATATGGCAGTTTAAAAATTAATGCAAAATCAGTAAATTGGCCCTAAAGCTGTAAGTGCTCAGATGCAAGAGCGGCAGTCTTGAGTGATAGTAGTCATCCATTCAAATGGAGAACCAGCGCCTG